AACACGCTGTCGTATACGCCGATCCAGAGCATCCCAAACATGCTCAATGGGTGACATGTTAGGGCTAGGGTTTAACCCTAGGGTTTAACCCTAGGGTTTTCGGACCCCCCCAGACCCACCCAATAAATCAAAAATGCATGTTTCAGAGTGGCCTTTTATTGTGGCCAGCCTAAGGCACACCTGTGCAATAATCATGCTGTCTAATCAGCATCTTGATATGCCACACCTGTGAGGTGGGATGGATTATCTCGGCAAAGGAGAAGTGCTCACTATCACAGATTTTTTCAGATTTGTGAACAATATTTGAGAGAAATGGTTATTTTGTGGGTATAGAAAATGTTTTAGATCTTTGAGTTCATCTCATGAAAAATGGGAGCAAAAACAAAAGTGTTGCGTTTATATTTTTGTTCAGTGTATATACAAAATCCCTACATTGTTCACTTATTCAACAGGATAGGTCAAATTATTTATAGTGGGGCTGTATGAGGTACTTATCGTACTTAGTGTATTATTTAGTTTTAACTTAGTTTTTTGGAGTGCACACACGGAAGCTGCAATGTTCTGCTGTGGACGGGGGCAGCAGCAAAACATACTTTCGGCCCCTAAAATAATCATTTTAAGTTTATGTGTACACTATATTTAGAACATTTCAATTGTTTTATATTATCAGACAACCCTATCAGGCAACCCTATCTGACGGGGAACTGAAGCTGATATATATGCTTCATCTTCTCCAATTCCATTGATAAATATTGTAATTTTACCTTGCAGAACAGAGGAGGTTGTCTACAGCTGCTTGGTTGGTTAGTTTACATTAATGTGTGACTTTGGGGAATTTGTACTTTCCAAAATCACACCATATTAATTTCAAACTAGGCGATGTAGGTAGCAGTATACCAGTGATTTTCTTGATCTTCAAAGTAAAAATACAGTTTTTTGTCAATAGAGGCATGGCGGCTTTTAACAAAGCATAAATAGCAGCTGCAGGTAGATGTAATACATTTAGCTGCTGCCCCACTTACAGAGAAATACCCACATCGGTCGGTAAGTACCTCATATAACCCCACTAACACCTTTTAGAGAATTTAGCCAAACCAGGAGACATTTTGCAACTAATTTAGATATAGACTAACCACACTTTCAAACAAAGAGACAAGCCCAAAACAGGAAGATGAAGTTGTATTTAGCCTTGTAGGGCGGGGACATTGGTGGAAGAAATAGGAAACTAAAAGATTTTTTTTTACTGGAGGTGAAAGACTCACATTTCTGATTTAGCATGCTGCTTCTGGAGCTGAGTCACGCTTAGCATGCTGGCTTCTCCATGCTGGCTTCTCCATGCTCATCTGCACATGGCTCTGAATTAAAGAGGCTGGATACTGTATGCAGCATACAGTGGAGATTCCAAACGCATATTGTCATCCAAACAACTCATATCACTATATACTGCATAGTATATAAGACATTTTACATAACTGTGTGGATATGAGTTGGTCACAAATAACTTCTAGTTGTTTATTATTGAGCATTTCAGCTAAATAAACAACTACCATTTGCCAGATTCAGGAGGGGATTAGTTATTTAGAAAAAGTACAAGTACCTCAGTTTCCAGGACAATCATTCCCGTGTGGATTTACTTAGCCTACATTATTGTGTTTGCGGTAAATAACTTTTAAATACAGCTGTTAAATAACTCTTTTCATGTTTTTGCCCTTGCCTAATCTATTGCACGTTTGTACAACAACAAAAGTGTGAACACCATAGCACCTGCATTTCTCCTCAACAACCTAAACAACGGCTCTCACTCCCAGTCAGCCTCCTCTCACTCCCACCCAGTGGTCCCTCTGTCACAATCAGAACTACACAAATATTCACATTTTATCCCTTTTGTCGGATTTAAATGGTCTGTGAAGCTTAAATCTAGACTGTAGTTTTGACGTGTTCACTGACTCGGTGTCTCCTTCTGAAGGTGTATCCCTATGAAATGCTCATGATAACCAGTAGAGGGAGAGCTAAACTGCCCAGGGATGTGGACAGAACCAGACTGGAGGTATCAGATTTCCACCTGATTGTCCGCAATTGATACTGGATTTCTCTACTTTGTGTAAATGACAATGTTACACAAATACAATTTGTATCAAGGAATGTGCATCCATTGCTTCTTGTCATTTTTGCTGTGGGAACCTTTTTTTGTGGCTTTGGTGCTAACCACGAACACTCCCCTCCTTTGTTTTCTCCACCTTTGTTCTCAATTTCTAGCGCCACTTAGCACCCGAATTGTTCTTTGACATCTTTGGAATGGAGGTCCAGGAGTTTGACAGGCTTCCCCTGTGGAAACGCAACGACATGAAAAAGAAGGCCAAGCTCTTCTAGCACTCAGAGCAGCATGCGCATACTGTACATTCATCCAGATAGCACACAACAAACTGTAATCTAGATGTAGGTTTTTGGGTTTATTTCCTTTTTCTTCTGGATTATTTTTGTTTTATCCTGGCATAATTCAAGGAAGCCACAAGATGGACTGAACTTCTTTTGTTGCTCTGAAGCTTCCTGAGACTGTGAGCTGAAGGATTTGTCCAGTTAGACTTGCACAGGAATCAAGGAATCTTTTCCATGTTCAAAAATGACAAAGAATGAGAATGATTGATAAATAGGTTCATGTTATTTGGTTTGACTGCGCTTGTTTTACTTCTTGCTTTGCTTCGAGTGGAACGGCTTTCCTTTCTTTCTTGCTTGTTTCTTCCTACTATTTGTTGCTGTTGATTCCTGTGGAACTTTGTAAGTACGGTAGACCTCATGGCGCCATTACCAAATGTCCATGCTCGTAGCTTGAACATGTGTCCGCTTTCCCAACGCTTGGGCTGAAGCTGATTTTGCCCAAAGTTCGCAAGAATCGGCTCAATGAGTCTTTGAATAAAATAAATAAAAAAGCCACAGGGAAAGCAGTGAGCGGACCCATCAACTGTTTTACCAGATCTCAATGGAAACCCCATACACATTGCCAGTCCCCTCCCCTTGCTTCTGTAGAATCCAAACATCCATCTGACCCTGACAAAAAGAAAATGTCTCTCTTCTCAGGCTCTCATAAACATGGCCAGACACATTCCCTTTTACATGTATTGGAAGTACAAATCTTAAATATATTTTAGTGCCGTATCCAAAATACAGTAACCAACAAATATAAAAAAACACTCAATGTGAGAATCAACTGTATTTGGAAGTACTGTTTTATAAATGAAAAACCCACACTGCCATTTGTTGTATTGAAATTTAAGCCAATAAAGCTTTAAATCACCATGAACCATATGATCCTCAGCTATTCCAAAGGTACCCACCGCCTCTTTTCTGTTCTCTGGTTTCTTCTTTGCATCGCACCAATAAACACACAGCTTCTGTAGTGCTACACAGGGTGAAAGGTAGTCTTAGGACTGGGTTACTTTTATACGGCCAGTCAGATGGTGGACTCTATTTGCTTTCTACACAAACTGATTAGTTGGGGCCCCTGTGTTGAAATCTCTTTTTACATGAACTTGGCTTTTTACTCAATACAAATACAAATAGTAAGGGTTTATTTTCCTGCGTTGGCGAAAAAGCTGGGTTAGGACGTTCCTTTGATGTCAACACACAGAGCAGTGAACAATAACCACACAGTACAAATACAGTCAATCTTCTCATACTGTAGCACTGCCAAAATCCAAACTCCATTAGAGATTGTGTGTGGAAAACTGATTTACAACTCATTATATACTGCATATGTAACAGTTTCGGTTTCAAATGCAAGAAAAAACAATCTGTTCATATTTCCCCATTGGTGTGGTTGGAATTAAATATAACTCATGTTTGAGAAACATAAAGTATCACTGTGAACACTAAACAGCCTTCCATTTTTTTAAAAGGCCCTATATTTGGGCGTTTCCCTCTCCTAATGGGTGTTATATATCTACAATCCCAAAGTTCCCTCCAGCAGGAGTTTCTCTCACACACACATCCCCACACAGATTGCTAACACAACCTCAGAATATTTTAAAGAACATTTGCGAATGAAATACTAATAAGACTTGGTAAGAAATAAGTGACCAATTTTCAATAAATGTATAACTTATTTCAAGTTTGTTTAAAGTTGCTTCAGTTTTTGTTTTAAATTGCATCTTATCTTTTTAACTTACTGTAAAAAAAATCCAGATACATTTAAATTGATCACTGAGAAACATTCCAAATATACCAGATGAGTGTTAATGGTGTACATACAGTATACATCCTGCACAGTGAGGTGACAATAAGCTCAATTTACTTCTGTGTGGAGGGAGACTTTAACACTTCAGAAAACCATGGTGTACTCTTGAAAATGTATATGGTGGTGTAAAGCATAAATAATTTGTATTAAGGAGTGCACAAATGTGCTAGTTGGGGCTTCAAATTATTCTCCTTAAGTATCAAATGCATCACTTGTTCAGAGAGCTGCTGTGTGACCTCGTTCAGTCACAGAGGGAATTATAGTGGGACACGTTTGAGTGATGTTGACACAACAATTATAATTTCCTCCTGACGAACACTGACACTTATGGAGGGCTGATGGCTGCCTCTGGTTTCACAACACTGCAGCTTGCAGGTCATATAATGGCAATGCGGAAATCAATGGGCAGCATTTCTGATTTCTGATTGGGTGGCAGAAACACAGTGCATGCAATGCTGCTACAATAAACTGATTGTTTAAAAATACTATCTTAAAATGAGAGAGAGAATGGGACATTTTTGGCTATATATTTATTTATATTTTAAACATTTTTGCCATGTTAACGTGTGTGTGTTTTTTTTTGCTGGGATGTTCAACCTCAGTTCCTATAAGTCCTTAATAAACTGTAGACAAAATACAGATACTCAGATCCAAAAGGAAACTGTCTTCAATTTGACCCATTAAAACACACTTTTTTGATCTAATGGCATAACATCATGGTTTCTAATATATCATGCTTTCAATCTGGAGCCCTTGCTCCATTTTCTCATGTTATTTTGGTAAAGCATATACTTTACATATACATTACAGATAATCATTTCAGTTTGTGTCATTATGTCAACAAACTGCCATTTAAAGTAAATACAAATTAATACATATTTACAAGTGATAATCAGTACTGAGTTTTCTTAAAATATTTGACCTAGGATAATTGGAAAACAGTATTATTATATAATATTTATATGGCAGTTTTTTGACATGGATATTGTTGTCCTATAAGAATGTCAGAGCAACTTTTCACACGGCTTTGTAGCTATCCACATATATATCGCACAATAAACTGCTTCTGCCTCTTCACTTCACCACAAACAATGTGTCTGACTTTGTTCAAATGAGCTGTAGTGAATATTTGTGAATCTCTTTCTACAGGAGACATTAGAAAAGCACCAAGAGTGTCTGAAGAGGCAAAGGGATGCAGTGAAATACAGACTGAAAAAACTGGCTGCACGGCAATCAGAAATCACAGTAAGTTGTGTTGAGACTATAGTGTTGAAATTGTATTATTTCTGTCTTTATAGTTATATAGTATTTGAAAATCAAAGTAAAAGTCAACTTTATTGTCAATCTTTCAGTTTGTGTGTAAAGAGAGATCGAAATACTGTTTCCCACAATCCCGAATACAAAAATACAAATATATAAAAATATGTATACAAATATGTATATCCTNCTGTCAAAGTCAACTTTATTGACGATCTTTCAGTTTGTGTGTACAGACAGAGAGATCGAAATACCACTTCCCACAATCCCGAATACAAAAATACAAATATATAAAAATATGTATACAAATATGTATATCCTATATATACATAATCAACAGACACATTTATATATATATATATACAAAATGGCTTCGCTAGTGATAAGGCAGTATAATAAACTGATAAATGCTTATGCCTGACTCAGAAAAAGTCCTCTGTGATAAGAGAGAAAATCATACGGAAATATCGAGAGATCCAGGCGGCCCTGGACGAGGACCTGAGGATCACCCTGTCCCACCTGGAGATGGAGGAGCGCGCCGCTGTCTCTGCTCTGGATGGGCTCATGGAAAGGAACTGTTCTCTGATTCAGGAGATAGAGCAGGACCTGGCCAGACTCACTGTGGCAATTATGGCCCAGTCAGACACAGAGCATGATACAATGGTGATTAAACCATGTGATTAAGTCGTGTGGGCCTAATATTTCCTATTTACATTGTCATTGGAAGCCCTGAGAGGCACGTTAACATTAAAATGAATTTCTCTCCTTTGATAAAGACTTAAGAACGGGTAGGAAAAAGGTTTTGCTGACATAATATTTCTTACTTTCTTTAAATGTTTTTTCATCTGTGAACAGCTGGAAACATATACTGTGGGTTTTGTATGTTGTGTTAAAAGTGCATTGAGTTACTGACCTGGAAGTAAACATGAATGCTTTTAATCATATATCATCACGAGTGAAGTGCCTGCTTTGGCATGCTGGTGCCGCTGCTCCTTGCATTTTGAAGTGAGTCTATGCACACATTTACGTAGGCAATGCTACGCATCATGAGGTCCAAAGCTTCCATGAAAATGTTATAGCAGAAAGTCAAAGCCCCATTAAACGTTCATACCGCAGGCATAAGGACAGCAAATGTGGATGATCCAGGTAGATGTACATGCTGCTTGTTTAACACGAAAAAACTTTGTCCATTCTGTCAGAGTCAGGTGTGCAAATTTGTGAAAGACATCATACTCAATCTGATCTTGGTGCTATGCGGACGTGGTGCCCCGTTATATAGTTTTTGATGCATGTCTATTTAGAGTTTTGCGGTTTAGTGCAGGTTTTAACCAACGTTTTTTTACAGAACCTCTGATCCAAATAGCCACTTCACTATCTCGGGGCCTCAACAACACACATGCCAAACGTGAAGTAGATCAGACTAAGATTTGGCGAGTGTTGGGAAAATACTGAATGTGCTCTTCCAATATCAGAGTAGAACATGATAACAAAGGCCCTACGTAGCTGTGTACGTAACAGGATGTATGATTAGCTAGAAGAGCGTAAAAAAACCCACAAAAACCCACTGTTTTAGATACAGTAGCTATGTGACAACATATGGAGATAGACATATGAGATATGACTGTCATGTTTATTGCTTACGTGGGCCTTTGCTAATCTGAATTTAGCATAGAATACTGCTTTGAGCCGGTATTCATGCATCTTGTGACAGTGATACACCCTCTCTTGTATGTAAGGCATGTCAAGGACACTGTTCTGGGAACAATTTTGTCCCATGCAGCTCTGTATGTGATGACTACTTCCATTCTTCCAAGGATAAAAAGTACATGTATCCTGATATTGAAGATCAAGCCGGTGACGAGTGATATTTTCCTAACAGCGAGATAATCCAAACTCAAACATACACACACTGAGGTCTGTCATTATAGTAAGATGAAAATGTTCCTATCTTTATCACAGATGAAAAGAAAAATAATCAACTTTTATCGGCAAAACCTTTGTTTTCACATGAATCATAATAGCAGGACAGACAACTATTTAGATCAGCCTTAGAAAATTGATCACCAGAATAATCTTTCTGGCCTCTCAGGGCTTCCGTACATTTGTGTATTGAAACCAAACATTTTCCTTTCAAAGTTCATTTGATCTTCATTTTTCTCCCCTGCATTTTTCCTTAGTCTTTCTTCTCATTCCCTGAGCAGCGGGACACAGAGACAGTGGACAGGTATGGAATCAAAACAAATGAAAATGATGGAAACAGTAGCATTAGCAGCGGCTAATCTCTCTGCTGTCTGCCTCCTCCAGAGTGATGGATCTGCTGAACAGGACAGACCCCAGCAGTGTGAGCCTGGATGACGTTAAAGCTGACCAGATCCTCAGCCTCACCCACAACATGCTGCTGTTCATCAGCTCACAGACCCCTTTAATCAGGAAACTCACCCACAGTTGTCAGTGTTATACATATTCATAAACACAACTTGAGCTTTTAGTTTTCTGTCTGTATAAAACTTGATTCAATTGTGTCTCCAGATTCCAGCGAGGTATATCTGGATCCAGAGACGTCCCACCCAAAGCTGATCATCTCCCCCCGGGGTGACAGTGCCACCTTCACCGACACCTGGCAGCAACTCTCGGACCTCCCTGGACGCTTTGACACCACCCTCAATGTCATCAGCGTGCAAGGATTCAGCTGTGGTCGCCATTACTGGGAGATTGATGTGAGTGGGAAGACATACTGGGAGCTAGGCGTCACTTATCCCAGCATTCCCCGAAAGGGCAACACAGAGGACTGCTGGCTGGGCAGGGGGGTTGAGTCCTGGTGCGT